CAACGAGATAGTGGTTGGGACTAAGAATATAAAATTGTCCAAAAGCTTAAAAAATATTTAGGTGATCTTGAATAAAGAAAATCTAATAGACCTAAAAAGGCTCATGTGAGGCTTAACGACTATATCTTATCTTATGTTACCTATTTTTTTTCGTGAGGCATATGAGGTCGATGAAGCCGGTTAATGGAGAACATATATGGAAGAAGAGATGGAGACCTTGCGAAAAAATAAAACATGGGACCTCGTCGAGCTAACAGAGAAGCGAAAGACAATTGATTGCAGGTGGGTTTTCAAGAAGAAGAAAGGCCTTGATGATATTGTTGAAAGATATAGAGCTTGACTGGCTGTGAAAGGGTATGCTCAGAATTAGGTATTGATTTTGATGAGATTTTTTCTTCTGTTGTGTGCATGTCCACTATTAGAGTTGTTTTGACTGTGGCTATTGTTCTTGATTTGGAGTTTGAACAATTAGATGTGAAACTACATTTTTACTTGGTGACTTAAAAGAAAAAAATTATATAACCTAACCTGAGGGTTTTATTGAGAAAGGTAAAAAGAATTTGATGTGTAGGCTCAAGAAAACATTGTATGGGTTGCACAGGCGCCGAGGTATTAGTACAAACGATTTGATTCTTTCTTGTTGAGCTTGAATTTTCGTAGATGTGAAGCTGACCATTGTGCCTATTTCCGCAGATACGGTGATACAAGTTTTATTAACTTGTTGTTATATTTCGATGACACGATTGTTGTAGGACTAAACAAAGACAATATTGCAATACTTACAGCTCAATTGGCTAAGGAATTTGAGATGAAAGAATAGGGAGCTGTTAACCGAATTCTTGGGATGAGTGTACTAAGAGACAGAAAGAACAAGAAAATTTGGTTAACTCAGAAGAGTTATGTGAGCAGGGTTCTGTGACTCTTCAATTAGTACCTCATTTCCTATGCATATGAAGTTGTCTTCGAAACAATATCCTAGCATTGAAGTAGGGAAGCTACAGATGTCTTGGGTACCGTATTCATTTGAAGTAGGGAGCCTCATGTTTGCTATGGTTAGCACCAAACCTGACATAGTACAAACAGTGGGAGTTGTGAGTAGATATATGACAAATCCTGATCATGATCACTGGACCGCTGTGAAATGGATCCTTTGATATTTGGAATGAACTTGCGATATTGATATTTGTTACAGTGGAATTCATTTGAAAGTCATTGGTTATGTCAATGCAGTCTTTGCAAGTAACTTGGATAAAAGAAGGTCTACTACCAAGTATGTTTTTTCTTTGGGAGGCGGTGCAGTTAGTTGGTTATCAAGGTTGCAGTCTGAGGTGGTGTTGTCTTCTACAGAGGTTAAGTATACGTCACTTATTCATGCATCTACAGAAGCAATTTGGTTAAACATGTTATTTGGTGAGTTTCGAGTTGTGCAAGAAGGCATTTTGCTTCATTGTGATAACCATAGTGCCTTGTTTCTAGTAATGAATCCAGCCTTCCATGACAGGACTAAACATATTGATGTTCAGTATCACTTTATTTGTGATGTGGTAGAATATGAAAACATTTTACATACTGATGACAATCCATCATATATGTTAACTAAACTCATTAAGAAGGAAAAATTCACTTGATGTAGGATTTCTTTGGGGCTTGTGGTTACTTGATGATTAGTAATAGGTGGGCAGTAATTTCTTGAAGCAGGCTAATCATAATGGAAACATATCTTCAAGTAGGAGAATGTTGCATATACGTGGTGATGTTGGTGTGAAGCCATGTTGAGATATTGGCGTGAAGCCATGTTAAGATATGGTTCCTTGATTTAGGAACTTGATATATTTGATAACCACATATCTATATCATATTTACGATTATAAGGGGTGTGAATCCTTATGGATTTACATGGCATGCTGCATCCTATGGGAAGATAAATCCCATCTTGTAAATTCTCTATTTTATGTGAAATAAAATCATATTGTGTAGAAAAGTAAATCCCATCAGATGTAGGAAATCTAGTCCAATTAGGAAAGGGAAGAGAGAGCCCCATGTGCTTGCTATTGGGTTTCTCCTTTATAAAGAGAGTTTTGTAGAGAGAGAGAGAAGAATTATACAGGAAATCCAGAGAGAAGAGGGTTAGTGCTTTAGTCATTGGGTAGGGATTTTAGTGAGAAAAAGACCATGTTTTAGGACTTGAGAGAGAACTTGTAATCCTTTGTATTCTCAATGCTTGCATGGTGTTTTTTTGATTAGTGGAAAAGAACTTTGCTGCTCCGTGGATGTAAGCAATTTGCCGAACTATGTAAATCTTTGCGTATCTGTTCTTTTATGTTTCTACATTTTTTTCTGTTCTTTATTTTTGTGAAATGTTGGTTTTTATCCTCTACAACAAGAGGCCGTTTTGTGTGGTGCCAATTGGACATGGAGAATATCACTGTGTCATTTTCACTGCTCTTACTCTTTTCTTTTCTTTCATATTCTTTTTTCCTATTTTCTTTAGGGAAATTTGAATATAAATTCCCTTATAAATTGATATTTAAAAATATGATCTATTTTATATTTTATAAGTAAATTTTATATCCATTGTGTTTTTATCCCCAAATTACTTCTAAGATGAGCACCAAATCTGAAGCCAACTCCCACCTTACAAAAAAAATAAATAAATAAATTAAAAGGACAAGTTTTGAACATTAGTTAGAAGCCGCTCTTCTTTTTATAGTAAGTTTCAGATGGGTTTAGATATGGACACGGTTTTTATGAGTCCATGTTGAAATGATTCGACTCTTAAAAATCTATTTTTGAGATGGATTTTCGGATCCAATTTTTTAGGACATGTAAGCTCTAGCATGTAGATCATGAATATAAAAAATTCATAAATTTTAAGAAATAAAAATTATGATTTTATGAAGAAAACATTTGGTCTAGCCCGCATGTAACAATTTTTTTTAACCTTTATTGTAATTAAGGGATGGGTTCGGACATGAAGTGTTCGTATTAGTTCATTTTGCATTTTCTGTAAATAAAAGATGATTTGAGACATTAAGTATCCAAACACCACCCCCGCCCTACCCTTTTTGTGTGTTGGTAAGCGAGAGATGTAATTGGAAATTGGATGTCCAAACATGGATAATTTGGGACTAAAAAGAACACAGAGTTGAAAATTTGTGTACAATGTGAAGAGATAAACTTTTTTGCTTTCAAAAAATAATAATATAAATTTCCCTCGCATTTATCACTATTGATTTGCCATTTAGGTCAATGTGTCCTTCTTGGTAAAATTTAGAGCACTCGGGTAAGTCATCAATCAAAAATGAGGAAGCAGTTTGAGCATGCAGAATTAATAGAGCGGCAAGCTCCTAACCCTGATCTATTTAAGAATTCAAAGCCCAGTAATAAATTCCAAACCCTAAATCAGTGTACGAAAGCAACAACCTAACGAAATAATCAATTCGATGCGAAAGTATTATAAATGTGCTTGATCCGTGAAAATCTCTACGACTTCCGTACCCCTCTCTCTCTCTCTAACACAAAAGTAGTCTCTCTCTAAATTTGTACTCGGGTATCTTTTGGAAAATTGTTTTATGTGGGCTGGACCATTTCTACAAGTCTGAGGTATAAAGTAAAAGATAAATTCAAGTAGGTGTAACTTTTCAAAAGTTTTTTTAATATAATTATTATTTTTAATTTTTAATTTTTTTTTTCATATTCATGATCTCTATATGAAAGATTATATATCATCTAGATATTAGAATCAAATTATATTTCAAAAATAAAAAATAATTTTATAGCACCCTTTTCTATTCATGTGTATAAAACCTCTAAAAGATCGGATATCTAAAAAAATTAAATCCCACACCCATGTGATGATTTTTCTAGATATTTATATCAATTTTAATGATAATCTTTTGAAGTCCTACACATATGGGTGAAAAAAAATCCTATAAGATCATTACTCTTAAAAAATATTTTTATTGTCAAGCCCTCATTTCTACGATACGAAGGCTGACCTCATAGAAACCTATGTCCTTATCTTTTTAACACAGATGTAGTATCTTTCTAGATTAGTAATCCATTATCATTCTTAACACAGGGGTCTGTGGCTAAGTTAGTACTCCATTATCTTTCTAACACAGAAGCAATTTCTCTCTCACAGTTAGTACTCCATGAGGTTAGCGCACTTTAGCTCTAAGGCTCTATTAACAGTAAATCAATGATCCTCCTCTAAACTTAATGATGATTCCCTCCCTTAATGAGTATAACTTCTCTACCCAAAACAAGAAGTAATTTCTATTGGAATCAGCATAATTTCTCTCTCTAGATTAGTACAACTCTCTTTGATCCCAAAGTTGAGAATCCCTCTAAGTGTAGCAATGGGGCCGGCATTGGCCGGGCCAGCTTTGGTCTTGAACCCCTGTCCCTATAGGGCCAGCTTAGGCCAAGCCCTGTTAAGACTGGGCCGGAGATAAAACAAATGAATATATATATATAAAAGGTGTGGTTTGTATAAAGCGGAGGCTCTAAACAATAAAAAAGAAAACCCACTTTCAAATAGTATCGAGAAATATGGTTTAAATATTGAAAATATTTGTGATAGTCTTAAAATATATTTTCATACTTAATTATAAATTTTGAAGCTCCGTGTAGACTGAGTAGATCTATGAAAACATGAAACGATCCAAAAATGTATTACAAGATGCATTATTTCTAAACCTTGAAATCTATTTTTTCGTAACGTCTATGCATCTTGAGGTCAAGATGATCAATTTGAGGATGTTTGAGCATTAAAATAACCTCTTCTAATGAAATTTTTGCGGTTGATTGTTTAGAGCTTCGCACCTGTATAAATTTTTTTCACATATAAAAAGGGGGACAGGCTGGGAAAAACATGGCTATCCCTAGCGCTAGCCCGGCCCAGAACCAAATTTGTAGGGTTGGGCCGACCGGGCCCATTGCTCCTCTCTCTCTCCACTTGGAGATAAATAAAAGTGTTCTCTGGTCTACATTGCCCCTTCTCTCTGACCTGTATCTAATGTACATTGCTCTCTCTCTCTTATTACTCTCTTTCTGCCACCCTGGTTTGTGCAGAGGCACACCCACCCACCGTTTATAAATCGCGGACCCCTCTCATAAACTCCATTAAACCACCCTCCCATTCACTCCCAATGGCCAAACCCTCCATTCTCCTCCATCTCCTTCTCCTCCTCTTCAACCAGCACTCTCTCTCTCTAGCTCTGGAAGCCAGTTTTTCTGGAGGTATTGGAGGTGTTTCAGTTTCAGGTGGTATCCAAGGTGGTTTTGGAGGTACCATTACCAACAGTCCAGCCCCACCTGGTTTTCAGAGCCTCAAGCTTTACAGAGCTTACCGAGCTCTTCAGTCATGGAAAAGTGCAATCACTGATGACCCATATGGCGTTACGAACACATGGGTGGGCACCAATGTTTGCAATTACAGAGGGGTGTTCTGCGCGTCGCCATTAGTGGGTTCTTCGGAGCTTGCAGTTGCAGGGATAGATCTCAACCATGCATTACTGGGAGGGACATTGGTCTCTGATCTCTCCCTACTTTCCGATCTCTCTCTCCTCCATCTCAACACCAACAGGTTCACAGGCACAGTCCCAGACACCTTCAACGACTTCATCTCTCTAACTGAGCTAGATTTGAGCAACAACAGATTTACAGGGCCCTTCCCCTCTGTTGTTCTATCCATGCCGAGTCTCATTTACCTCGACCTCAGATTCAACAAGTTTGGTGGGGTTTTACCCGATGATCTCTTCACCTCTAACTTTGATGCAATTTTCCTTAACAATAACCAGTTTGAGGGGCCAATACCTCTAAGTTTAGGGAATTCCCCTGCTTCAGTCATAACTTTTGCCAACAATAACTTCAGTGGTGACCTCCCAGCTACATTTGGCTACATGGGTTCTAGAGTTAGAGAAGTTTTGTTCATGAATAACCAGTTAACTGGTTGTATACCTGAAGGCATTGGGCTTTTGTCACAAATTCAAGTCTTGGATTTGAGCTTCAATCTCTTCAGTGGGCATCTTCCTGATTCTTTCTCTTGTTTAACAGGGATTCAGGTGTTGAACATTGCTCACAATGAGTTCTCAGGCATTGTTCCTGACATTGTTTGTGAGCTCAGAAGCTTGGCAAACCTCACTGTGGCTTTCAATTTCTTCTCTGGTTTGAGCCAAGAGTGCTCAAGGCTTAGTTTTAGGAATGTGGGTTTTGATTTATCAGGAAATTGCATTCCTGGTAAGGTGATGCAGAGGCCTCCACCAGAGTGCAATGGCTATCAAGGTGGGTTTAACTGTATAAGGATACCTGCAACAAGGCCACTGGAGTGTCAAGCAGTTGGTGAGGTTTCTACAGTGGAGAAAGGTACCGGTGGGGTAGACCCTAGGGCACATGGCGTGCCAGGTTCTAGGCCTTCTCCATAGTGGGAATGAAAGAATATCAATGTTTTTGTGTTTGTAAAGGGAGATATCCATTTAATAACAAGGGATATGTCCATACTAGTGCCTGTTTGCTTGTGTCATGGAGTTTTGTTGTGGCCATAAATTGAGAGAGAGAGAGAGAGAGAGAGAGAGAGTGTGTGTTAACCCCACAATACCATAAGAGAGAGAGAGAGAGAGAGATAGAGCGATAGAGGATTTGGGTCCATGGTGTAGGCTTCTATTTTTGCCTAAGCATAATTATTAGAGAGAGACAGAGAGAGTTGAGACCGATAATTGTAACTTAGTTGCCATTGAATTCACAGCCTTTAATTTTTTCTTTTTCATGTTAATGCACAGTTAATGCACAGTTGCTAGAGAGAGAGACTCCGTGCTAATTGAAAGCATGAGAGAGAGACTCCGTGCTAATTGAAAGCATGAGAGAGACACTCCCTGCTAATTGAAAGCTTCATGTTTGATTGCTAACATTTCTTGTCAATTACGTACTTATCCCATGAGAAGATCTCAAATGCCTCATCTCTCACTCATAGTGATTATCCTTTCTCGCCTTGAGGAATCCTATTTGGTTTGTTAGTGATCTCCGGGATTTTAAAACCGGGCAAGCTTTCTATGCTTCCCCTTACAACATAAAATTTATATGTTTTCTCTTATCCGACCGTCCATTTTGAATGGACGGCTGAGATAACCCCAATTACATTGTCACATTTGTATATTATTTTATTTTTAATATTATTTCTAGCAATTATTTTGACACTAAATTTTGAGCGTCCACTTATCTTTTAAACTCGCACTTGAAAAAAATATGAAAAATATTATCAATAAAATAAAATGATTAAAATACCACTGAAAGCTTCAAGGGGTATTTTAGTCATTTTATTTTATCAAAATGTTTTTTAAAATATCGTTCATAAGCACACCCTATTGAGAAGATAGTACGTACCAAAATTTATATTCATACAATTTTTATTAAAAAAATTAAAAATAAAATACTTTGAGACGTCAGATCTAGATGAAACGGTGTGTGACTCAATTTATTTAAATTGGACGGTTGGATGAGAGGGGAAACATGTAACTTTTATGCAGTAGAGGAAGTATAGAAATCTTTCCCTTTAAAACCCAAAATATGGTATTGTATTAACCCAGCAGTGAACCGTTTTGGATTGGTGATTCCGATTTGAATTGGCTAATTCTCTAGAGTCTGGTAACAAAGAAATGTGAAGAATATCAAATAAATAAATTCGGTCACGATCGGGCAAATAATTGGGTTCCATGGATCTTGATCACAAACCCACCCCCAATCTGGATCGTCTATTTTGTTCTGGATTAGCGAAATTTTAAAAGGACCTCGTTTTTATGCGGCCAAGCCCGCATGTCTAGAAATACGGGCCTCTTAATAAATCTATTTTCGAGATGGATTTTTGGA